CCTTAGAAAGCATTACTAACAACAAAGCTAGTGGAGGTGATGGTATTCCAGCTGAGCTATTCAAAGTCTTAGAAGAGGATGCTGTTAAAGTTCTGCACTCCATTTGCCAGCAAATTTGGAAAACGCAACAGTGGCCACAGGATTGGAAAAGGTCAGTATACATTCCAATCCCAAAGAAGGGCAATGCCAAGGAATGTTCAAACTATCGCACAATTGCACTCATATCACACGCTAGCAAGGTCATGCTCAAGATCCTACAAGCTAGGCTTCAACAGTACGTGGATAGAGAACTACCAGAAGTACAAGCTGGGTTTCGAAGAGGTAGAGGAACTAGAGATCAAATTGCCAACATTCGCTGGATTATGGAGAAAGCAAGAGAGTACCAGAAAAATATCTACTTCTGCTTCATTGACTATGCTAAAGCTTTTGACTGTGTGGATCACAACAAACTATGGCAGGGCCTTAAAGAGATGGGAGTACCAGACCACCTCACATGTCTCTTGAGAAACCTGTATAAGGGCCAAGAAGCGACAGTTAGAACCGGATATGGAACAACTGATTGGTTCAGCATAGGAAAAGGAGTACGACAAGGATGTATACTGTCACCTTGCTTATTTAATATATATGCAGAGTACATCATGCGAAATGCTGGCCTGGATGAATCACAAGCGGGAATTAAGATTGCTGGGGAAAAGATCAACAACCTCAGATATGCAGACGATACCACTCTGATGGCAGAAAGTGAAGAGGACCTTAAGAGCCTCTTGCTCAGGGTAAAAGAGGAGAGCGCAAAAGTGGGCTTGAAGCTCAACATCAAAAAAACTAAGATCATGGCATCCGGCCCCATCACTCCTTGGCAAATAGAAGGGGAAGTCGTGGAAGTGGTGACAGACTTCACGTTCCTGGGATCCCAGATCACCGCAGACTGTGACTGCAGCCATGAAATTAAAAGACGCCTGCTCCTTGGGAGGAAAGCGATGGCGAACCTAAACAGCATGATAAAAAGTAGAGACATCACCCTGCCAACAAAAGTCCGCATGGTCAAAGCAGTGGTATTCCCAGTAGTCATGTATGGCTGCGAGAGTTGGACTATAAGGAAGGCCAAGCGCCGAAGAATAGATTCTTTTGAACTATGGTGCTGGAGAAGAATCTTGAGAGTCCCTTGGACTGCAAGAAGATCAAATCAGTCAATCCTAAAAGAAATCAACCCTGACTGTTCCCTGGAAGGCCAGATAATGAAACTGAAGCTCAAATACTTTGGCCACCAAATGAGAAGGGAGCACTCACTGGAGAAGACCCTGATGCTGGGAAAGATTGAAGGTCAAAGAAGACGGGGACGGCAAAGGATGAGATGGTTGGACAGTGTCATCGACGCAACGAACATGAAATTGAGCCAACTTCAGAGGACAGCGGAAGACAGGAGGGCCTGGCGGGAGCTGGTCCATGGGGTCGCGAAGAGTCGGACTCGACTGTGCGACTGAACAACAACAAACAAACAACACTGGGTGAAGAAGTAAGTAGTCTTTGTAGCAGGCTTGGTTTAAGACCTTACAAAGACTGAAGCAGCAGATTTTTGTTAACTGAACAGCAGATAGTGGGGAATGATCAGTGTAGCTAGAGTAATTGCCCAGTGCCAAAAACAGTGGTGAACTTTACTGGGTGTAGACTGAGGGAGTCTATGAAAGTACAATTGTCATAATCACACTTTAGAAATTTTCATACTAGACAGGTCTTCTGTTATAGGGATATCACATTTTCTTAGCATTCAAACTAAAATAATCTGCCACTAGATTCTCCCCCTCCTCCAGAATTTACTAAGCTTGTACTTTCCAAGAGAAAAGTGAATGCTGGATAGTGTCTGTGACAACATGGGTAAGGAGAGATGCAATATACTCTTGACCATTCCATGTTTATATAATAAATGTCATCAAGTTGCAACTGACTCATGGCAACTTCTCATGGGGTTTTCAAGGCAAGAGATGAGCAGAGGTGGTTTGCTATTGCCTTCCCCTATCAGTTTGGGTGGGAAATCTCACAAAGAAGGAACATTGTGGGGCTCAAAAGTTTCTCAACACTAGAACAGAAGAGTTCTAGCAAGTATCGGACCCAAGATGCAGAAATCAAAGGGAAGTAAGCCACTGATACAGGAACCTGAAGGGAATGCAGGTAGATGAGACAGAGGACAAAGGAAAATACTCAGTGGACTAGAGGCTAGAGACCTGAATGGAAACAGTTGCCAGAAATCCACATGCAATTTATGCTAATGCATTAAAACATAAGAACATAAGAGATGCCAATGTTGGATCAGGCCAAAGTCCCATCCAGTCCAACACTCTGCAGGGGTCTTGTTGTAGAAAAAGAGCTGCCGGAGCTCATTAGCATAACTCATTAGCATAACTTATTTGCATATGCCACGCCCCCTGACATCACCGGAAGTGTGTCAGAAGGCCCGGCTACTTACCCTCCTGCTTCATCCTCATTCCCAAACGGAATGAGGATCGAAGCAGAGGACGGGGTAAAGAAGGGGGCGGGGCTTCACCACGTGACCGCCCCGCCCCCTAGAGGTTCTCTTCCGGAGCTCCGTACCTGAGAGCTCCCCCCCGACTAGAGCCCTGACACTCTGTATCACACAGTGGCCAGAAATACCAGTGCCATCAGGAGGTCCACCAGTGGGGCTCATGTATTTCTTCACTATGCTCAAAATGACATATAAAAAAGCCCAGGAACAAAGATACAGCATTTAGTTTCTAATAACAGCCAGCCATATATCTGAAAAAGTAGGGCATGAAAGCTGTTGCTCGGCCCAGCACCTGGTATTCACAGGTAGACTGCCTCTGAACACAGAGGTTCCATTTAACGATTATGATTAACAAGTCTTTAATAAACCTTATTGTCACAATCCCAAATCCAAGCCTTTCTCTTGCTATTGCATTATATACCACTTTACCAATAACAAGTCCCTCAGGTTGGAGAGTTGTGCATCACCTCACCACCCACAGCCTCCTTTTATATTATTTAATATTAGGTTCACTGTCCCCCTTAAGTGTGTGGGGTGAAGTGGATTTGTTTTATTTCGTGTGTCTTTGACACATACCTAAGATTCCTTAATACTGAAATAGAGAGCACATCAACTGCATATCCAGACCCCATTCCCTGGGTCCTACAGAGTGTGCAGTGAGTAATCTGGGTTGAGGATGACATGGAAGTCATACATAACAAAACAAGTTTGTTTGGGTGGTAAGCATGACTTGTAATTCCTTCCCAGTCCAGCCAGCTGGCTGACACAGTACAAGAGCTTAGATATGTTATACTGAAAAGTTACAATGTTTACTTTTTCAGCAGCTTTTAATGTAAACACAGTAAACAGGCAGCTTGAACAATTTCACTGTTTTTATCTAGGAACAGCATTCAAACCCTGCCTGTCAAAAATCAATCACTACAGTCCCTACTAGACTCTTTGCTTGATCAAGAATACCTACCCTTCTCCCCTCCAAAATTCAACTTTTTTTTTTGTGTCATTTGGCTGCTCTGACCTGGATAGTCCAGGCTAGCTTGATCCCATCAGATCTTGGAAGCTAAGCAGAGTCGGCCTTGGCTACTATTTAGAAGGGCAACCTGGAATACCACGGTTGTGACGCAGAGGCAGGAAATGGCAAACCACCTCTGAAATGTCTCTTGCCTTAAAAACAAGTCTAGCTCGCCACCTAGTGGTGCATAATACTAAAAGCTAGAACCTTTGGATGCCAGACAATCTTAGGATCTCCTGGCTATTCTACACACAACACCATACAATAATAGTTAATTATTATTGTTAGTTGGCTGCAGAAAACTAACCTGCCTCATAGCCTCTCCCCTTCATTTTAGAGTTCCATTTGGCTTCTGAATCTGATTGGTCTACTCTGAAAAACAGAGGGTAGGACCTTCTCCTGTCCATCACATGTATCCACCCAGATTTACACTATCAGGCAAAAAAATCCACCAAGGAATAAAATGGCAGCAGTTAATACTAATGCCAAACAGAGCTGAGAGGTGAGGACTAATAAGAAAAATGAAAGGATGAGTGGGGTAGACAATACTAGTGCCAAACAGAATTTGGTGGCTGGGGAGGAATAATGAGTAATTGAAACTGAAGGGTCAGTTGGGGCAGTAATTACTGATAAGGATAAGGGCTCAAGTGGTTAAGACGCTGAACTGCAGGCTGTGGAAGGTCAGTAGTTCAGCAGTTCGAGACCCGGGTTGCCGCATGACGGAGTGAGCTCCCGTCTCTAGTTCCAGCCAACCTAGCAGTTCGAAAGCAAGAAATTGCAAGTAGATAAATAGGTACCACTTTGGTGGGAAGGTAACTGCGTTCCGTGCGCCTTGGTGTTTAGTCATGCCGGCCACATGACCACCTAAACGTCTTCGGACAGCGCTGGCTCTTCGGCTTTGAAACGGAGATGAGCACCGCAACCCTAGAGTCGGACTCTACTGGCTTTCGAGCAAGGGAACCTTTACTTTTAATTAATGATAATAATAACTAATACTGAATAGATTTGGGGGAAAAAATAATCAGGATTAAGAGATACTGAAGGAATGTTTGGGGTAGTCATAAATTGAGCAAAGGTACACCTGTGTTGAATATTGGCTTTTTTTTCTTTCAGCGCCAGAACTCAGCCTTGAAGCCCGCGGAAAAAAACAGAATGCCTCTGAGCATGTCCGAACATCGTAAATAGCCTTGAGCGCATCGTAAATAGCCTCGAGCGCATTTATCCCATAGTAAGAGGAGAAATGGAAGCGAAGCAGGAAGGGGTGCATTCGCGCGCCCTGTACATTACCCGCCGCCGCCCCCCTTTCTTACCCGACTCCTCGTACCGAGCGCGGCTTCAGCCGATCGAAGCAGCGTTTACTCGTTTCTTAGCAACCTCCCAGAGGGTCACGTGACGATCTGGGCGGAGATAATCTACCTTCTTAGAAGACAAGACGGCGGGAGAGTAGCGTGGGAAAAGGGATGACCCGGGGGAAAACGAATGGTGGCATGAGGGGAGAAGGAATGATCGTCCCCCTCCCGACGTGGCTCTTAACATGTTAAGGACACGGTGAGTAGGAAACCATACCAGTATGGCGTAGTAGTGGGAAATGCTGGACTAGGTCCTGGGAAACCTAGGATCAAATCTCACTCTGCCATGAATCCCGCTTTGGTTGGGGCAGTCATTCTCTTTAACCCTAACCTGCCTTACAAAATTGTGAAAATTAAAAAAGGGGGGGGGGGGGGGGAGGTGGGTGCACCACTCTAAACTCTGTGGGGTTATGGCTTTTTTGGGCCGGGGGGGGGGCTTTTTTTTTTTTTTTTGTCAGAACGCGGGCCCTGTTTGAAGTGTCAGTGCAGAATGTCTGCCCGTGGGCATGGTCAGAGTGCACTTTAGATTTCTCAGTCAGCTACTAGGACTCCTAGGCCAGGTTGAACCGTGCCCCCCACTCATTTCACTTAAGGCCATCTTCTGAAAGTATTACTTGCCTTTTGTTTAGTTTGCAGAGTGCTTACAGTTCAAACCCCCCACCCCAACAGTAATGGTAAGGCTATGATTATCCCCACTGTACAGACAAGAAATTGAGAAATGAAGAGAGAAGTTTCTCTGAAACAGAGCTAGATTTAGGGATCAATTAATGGGTTTAGGGCTTTACAATAGGGTCACTAAATAAGGGGGAAAGTTAAATCTTCAGCCTAAGTCAGTCGCTGCTTAGCTAGGCTTTCACCTTACTGTGCCATCAATTGAACAAAGTTTGAGTCCAGTTCTGCTGCTCCGCACCAACCTGAATCTGTACCGTCAATTGCTTCCCTATTTATATTTACAGTGCCCTTTCTGTGAGAATCTAAGTATTATTTTTATCACATGCTGCCTCTTAAGCTGTCATAATTTAGGGCCTCCTGTGACATGAACCATTTGTTATTTCTCTGTTTTGCCAAAAATTTTAAGGCCCCTGAGGCCTGCCAGGCAACTTCTTTGGCATTTAGACTCTGTAAGAGGCATCTGTGTGCCTAATGGAGAATCTCTGTGCTGAAGAGTTACTTTCCTCATTAAAGCTCCCAGGACTCAGGGATTAAAACCCTTGCTCATTCTGTAAGGAAAATTATAACCAACCCTGTGGAAGGGGCAGGAGCTTGTGGAATTTGTAAAACCCTCTTCCCCAGGAGTTCAGAGTGCGTTCCCTGGAGTTGCTCAGCCAGGTGGTTGCAGTGGGTGGGAAAGTGTACTCTCACACCAGGCAGTGTGAGGTGTTAGCACTGAGCTAAGGTCAAGGTAATCATGTTAGAAACTGTTATTCTTTTGGCTGGTTTCCTTTTTTCCTGCTAGCCCAGAAGGCTATTTTTCTGGGACCAAAGTTTAACTAACCGTTCAGTATTTTGAAAGCTACAAGATGCTGTCAACCATTTGCATTTCTATGTTTTCAGTTAAATAACAATTCTTTCATAATTAAAAAAACTGTATCGGGCTAAATTGCGCATCTAGGCAGTACACACACACACCTTTATGCAAGGAGGTACTGCCCAAGGAATTAGAAGGGAAGAAGAGGTAGCTTGGGCCTCTCCAAGTTAGACTAAAATCCTCAGACCAGGCTGGGGCCAGTGAGCACCTAGGCTGCTCCAAGGTTTAACGGGGGCAGACAGAAAAGAGGGGTGCAGAAGGGGTGCGGATTTTTCTGCTGTAGAGGAAAGTGTGCTTCAGATGGAATCCTCTCCCTATCCCAAAGCCCCCCCCCCTTTACTTCTGTTACATGTTAGAATCTGACCCTGCTCTAAAGCTACCCAATGGGTGCGGTCAGACGGCGTGCTAGGAGCGGTTTAAATTGCTCTGGCCCCGATGAGTTTTTTTTAACCTGGAGAATCACGATCACACTCACCTCCTTGCTCTGGATCGCTGCGCAGCCACATTGCTCCCCGCCGTCCACAGGAGAGAGCATACATCTGTGGTGTTTTTCTTTCTCTCTCAGTTTATTTATTTATTTATTTTGGGATTTATATCCCGCCCTACCCGTACGGCCCAGGGCGGCAAACAAGCGGCAACGCCGGAAATAAAACATAGGTTACATTAAAACCTCAATAAATACAAACTAAAATGGTGCTCTACAGTTCATTTTAAAAGTTCAAGATGGTAGATGTCCCTCACTGGCGGCCGATGGTATAAACGCAGGAGCGCCCGGGTGGTGTTCCTCTTCTGGGCGACGACTGACCCCGTCCAAAGCCAGGTAGATGGTAAATCAGCCACGATGGTGGTATAGTTTGGGCATGCGCACATTGTAGAACTAAAATTTTCACGCATGCGCAGAACAGCAATTTTCACTTCAACCCAACTGCTGGAACACTTCCCTTTAAACTTTAAAGGAACACTTCCCTTTAAACGTTTACCCCGAAAATGGCCTCTGTGAGATCCCGAACTCGTCTAAATGCTAAAACTAGGCACCGTTTAAACATTGTTTTTAATAACGTGGTGGCGGACCTCCACCTATGCACACACCGCCAACGCTTAAAAAAAAAGGGCGGGCGAAAAGTGGAAACCTCGGGCAGCTTTTGAGTGGGGAGAGGGTTTAAACCGGAAGTGGCTCGACACCGGAGGAGCGATCTCACAGGGGGAAAATGCCGCTGGAAACAGAGAATCAGGAAAACACCACTTGGGGACCTGGTAACAAAATACTCTGGTTTAAAGGATATTTGAGCTGGAAAGCGACGGCTGGGGATGGGAGGCAGATGTTGACTGTGTGATCATGCGTATAAAATCCGTTTCTGAACTGGCACGACACCAGATTAAATGGCATGTCTGAATGCACCCACTAAGCTCAGTAGGACCAAATTCGCTCAGCATTATCATCAGTGTTAAGATGACTGTGATAGTTGGAAATAGACAAATCTCTGTGCATCTCTGTTAGATTTTTTTGGTGTTTATCTTCTGTAGGTAGCTAACCAAGAAGGCTGACAACAGGCTTAATAATAAGTTATAGTAGGTTTATATATATTGAATGAGCAAACCTTTAATACTTAACAAATAGTTAAAAAAACTGTTAAAGCCAAATGTGTTTTGGCCACAAGGCCTTCCTCAGTGGTACAAATAATTAAAATACACACCATAAAGTTATGATTTACTCTGACCTTGGTTATACAGATCTTTGGACCAGGAACAACTTCAGTCTAAAAATGACTTCATAGTCCTGATTGATTCCAAAAATGAAGAGGGACATCTAATTAATTTTTCCTTACTTCTTTATGAGTGCTTTTTAAGCTCAGGCCACAATGCTGTATTTTCTATTGTGATAATTTTATTTTATGGTGTATCTTTTAATTATTTGTACTACTGAGGAAGGTATTGTGGCCAAAACGTATTTGGTTTAAACATTTTTTTTACTATTAGTTATGTATTAAAGCTTTGTTAATTCAATATATGTAAACCCATTATTTATTTTATTAGGCCTGTTGTCAGCCTTGTTGGTTACCTGGTTCTCCTGGGTTGAAGTTTTTTCTTCCCTTTTGTGTTTTGATTTATCTGCTGTAGCCTAACATCTTAAATGCTGCCACATTTACCGGGGTGCAAGTGTTCTGGCCAATGAAAGCTAATGTTCTGATAAATGCAAGACTTATTCAGGAACAAAAAGCACCTGCCATTCTTAAAAGCAAAGCAGCAGGTATGTCAGGCAATTTTAATCTTAGAAATGGGAATACAAAGCTGCATCTCTCCCCCACTCCTCCCCAGTGGCTTCTAGACCAGCCCTTCTGTCTCTGTTGCCATCATCTGTTTACAACGTTAATCAAAATACCGTACTCCATCCTGCTTGGTTTGTCATTATGAGACAGCTGGCAAAGGGGCCATGAAACTGTGACAGTGAGAAGAGGAACACTAATGGTATGATGATAGAACATGTGCAATGTTAATTCACCTCCTCACACAATCTGGAACAAGAAAAGGATTCTAACTGTATGGGTAGTAACCAGGATGGCATGAGTGTGTCTTCTCTGTCTTTTTACATTACATTACATATTAGACTTCTATACCGCTCCTTCCCGAAGGCTTGGAGCGGTTTACATAGACATTTAATTGCCTAGCTAGGGCCACAATGCAAGGGGAAGGGTGAATGCCTTACCAGGCACCTACTCAGCAATGGTCTTCTTCTGTTGTTCTTTCATGGCGTATTCTTTTTTGTTGTGTCCAGGCAGTCTTGTTAGAACAGTTCCCCTTCTAAGAGCACAGTGTGAGACTGCCAAGATGCAACTGCTCATCATATACTCTTATTTATTTACTTCATTTATCCACCATTCGTGTGGTAACACCATTGATACGATATCAAATAAAATAGCTAGCACTTTAATTATCGTATTGTTTTAATGAACTGTTTTTAGATGTTTTATGGAATTTTGATTATTTTACCCTGTGTAAGCCGCCCTGAGCCTGCTCTAATGGGGAGGGTGGGGTATAAATCTGAAAAATAAATAAAATAAATAAATGCTCTGCCTTTTTCCTCAGTAGAGAGACAAAGCAGCTTACAGAATTCCCCTCTCCTCCATTTTATCCTCACAAGAAGTCTGTCTTGTTTATGTATACTTGACTTATCTTCTAATAAATTATAAACTTGGGGAAAAAAAGGTAAGGTAGGCTGAAAGCATTTGACTGGACCAAGGTCACCATGGCAGAGTGGAGATTCTAGTCTGAAACCACCACACCACTCTTGCTCACTCCTACCTCCGATGCTCTTTTGAACGTCACACCACTTGTCTTTCAAGTCAGATCACCTCATGTAAACTGTTCTTATAGACAGGAGTTCTAAACTAGCAGCTCTCTAATCTACCCACAGAATTTACAGTTTTGGATAGTTAACTGTATGTACCAGGCCTGTAGCAAGTCAGCTGCAGATTTTCCAAGTGCCCCAAGGTCCGTTAGACATTCACATCACCTATCCTTGCTATTTAAAAAATCTCTTTGCGAAAGATGAGAGAGTTTTGATTGAAGAGAGCAGCTTTTGGCAGCAAGCTTCACAAGGAAACAGATCTCAGTTGTAACTCAGCTGTTCCCACAAGCACATGACATATGTTTGAAAAAGAAAACAGACAGAAAAGACTGCTCTTTTTTGGTGTTCTCTTAATGAGTCACGACTTACTAGAGTACCAAATGACCCAATGGCCATGTGCTTCCAGTAGTCATAGAAGCAGCCCTATTCACTATCAAAACAGCAATCATCTACCAGTGGCCCATTTTCAGACACTGCCCTAAGCAGTATGGGATAATAGAACAGAGAACACAATAAAGGATCAGTGTGAAAATCTGCTGTTGATGGAAGCCATTCAGAAAAAATAGTGTGAGTCATTGTCAGAAAAACAGAAAAGAACAGCTTTCCATACTTACACAGGTTCAGATAAGGAAAAAATGGTTTCAAAACTCACAGGGCACTTGAACAGTCATTTTTAGGACTTTATTTTGGTTTGATTTTACAGGTGTAACAGACAGTTTCAGCCAGAACACAGCAAGAGAATCAGATGGAATATCATATGTACGTAAGCAGAAATGTTACCCATTTGCTGGTCACTTATCAAATCATTATCCTAGGAATGCAGGGCCATTACATATGTTATAGAATTACTCAGGGGTCATTTCGTAGAAAAAGAGGTGCAGGAGCTCATTAGCACAACTCATTAGCATATGCCACACACCCTGACATCACCAGAAGTGTGTCAGAAGGCAACACCCACCGCTCAGGCTCCATTGGACTGTTTTGGATTGCTAGCTATTGGGTGTGGAATGTGCAGATATGCCCTCACAGAGGAGGGAGAGCTTGTACCTGAATAAAACTTGGTCTCAAAGGTGCCACTGGACTGTTTTGGATTGCTACCTCGGGGGGGGGGGGGGGGGG